ATATTTGGACCGTGCAGCCACAATCAAAACTAAATGGTGATGACGCCGCTTATCCAAATAAGATCCAAGCCTGGCCTCAGTACATCATATTCTATAGGATTGATGGCGTTTCGAGCAAAACCATTGACTTTAAAGTTGTATTACAAACGTCCAGTGGCAAAGGGTGGTTTGGAATGGTGGGAGAATTTATAGATAAATAACCATTCACGAATGATTGTTAAAAGATATTTTTTAAAGTTCATCTTTCATATGATTTTAGGGATTTGGTCCAGATGATCTTGGTATGCAGGGAGCGGACTTCTACATTGGAATTGTATGTGAAAGTAATCATTAATCTGTCCTAATATTTACACACATCTAACGCGATAGTCACTTATGCATTGCAGGTTGACGGTCAAAATATCACATTGAAGAACTATCACGCAGATCCCAATGCTTATCATCCTCCCATAGTCGATAGCGATCAGACCGTTATTGTTCGCAAGGCATTTATTAGTGACACAGGCGTTGCGACGGTTGAATTTACAAGGTCATTGAGTGCAGCAAGGCCGGGAAAAAAGTCTATCATTAATGGGCCTATGAAATGTATGTTTGTAAATAGAAAATCTCGTTTAATATTTTTTGTGATTTCTCTTTAATCGCATTTTTTAAACATGCCCAGTCATCATGGCCTACAATCCAGCTAGCTCTCAATTTTCTTATCACGGAAACAATCGTATTTTAATGTATATCGATTTTTATAATAATATCATTTCATCGTCGGTTATTACGGGTATGCAGTTAACCACCAAGGCAATTCATGGTGCTTGTATGTTCCTTGTTTGGTGGTATGTTGAGGCTTGATACTATTGAATCTACTATTATTTTACTATGAACTAATACAATGTATATATGTAATATGTGATAGTATTCTATTCCCGGCTTCAGTTTTCTTGGTTCGATATTTTAAGGTAGCTTAATTAATCTTCATACCCGCATAAATTCTTTTGTACTCACTTCATCTATTTTGCTCATACTAAGCATCGCAACGACCATCTCACTATCCATCAATTTGTACAATTGCTTGGAGGCGCGATGGTATCAACAGTCGGTGTTGCCGCTATTACTACTGTGCAATATGTCCAGTCGCCGCATGCATGGTAATTTCTTTAATCAATAGCACGAATTTTTGTTTCTTTTTATCAAGGCGAAACAATCATACTCAATAATTTTTCATTATTATAAATTAGGTTTGGTCTGTTCATATTTGCCTGTTCATTTATCCAACTTTCTTTAGGCTTAATAGCCATGTGGGGACAGACATCCGTTGTTTCTGTTAATAAGGTAGTTTATATTACATAATTGATCCATGGATTTATCTTGTTTTGCACGGAACTGTTAATTTACTGGTTTTATATGTAATCCTAAATAATGACATTCATCAGGGCTACCCTCGTTTCGTGAAACGCACTCACAAATTCTTTGGAGCTACTCTGCTTCTAGCGGCTTGGTAAGAAATATCCATGCGTCGGTGGTTTTCTGTAGTGAATATTATAATGTTGATTTCTCTAACGTCTTTTTTCTCCCGATCAAACAAAAAAAAATAGGGCCAATGTGTATCTCGGTGAGTTGAATTTGCATGAAACGCTGGGTCTTTTGCATAATATCTTTGGCATTCTATATTTACAAACTTTTATCCATCATTAGGCATCGATACTTTCTGCACCACTTATACTATGTAAGAATGTCTATCAACATCTACCGATTTTATAGATCAGGTTAAGCTAATTTCATTATTTCACTAGCGATTCAACTCCGTATAAGGCAGCCTACATTTGTTGGCTTATTATAATGGTTTCGGTCTTTATATTTGGTGAATTTTGGTGGATTCGACAAGGCACACTAAATAAATTGGTTTGCATGGACGAAGATGAATCGACAATCGAAAAAAGATCCATGATATATACCTATATTGATCATGAGGAATATTTGAGTTTACCGGAATTTACTTGGGATGAATTTAATGAACGCGTTCAGAGTGGGGTTAGTAAAACCTATCACTTTAAAAGGAAACAATTTGCCGATTCTGAACCATTTTTTGTGCATGCGAATTTACTTTTGTTTAGGCTTATTTGGTAGTTTGCGATAATCTGGTTGTGAACGTGAGAAAATGGATCGGAGCTCACCCGGGTGGTTCAAAAATTCTCGAACGTGTAAGTTCAGAATTACATGATGCAGTTTTATTGATTTATTCGTAGAATCTCAACTTACAATTTTCTATTCAGGTTATTGGTACCGATATCACAAGGGGTATATATATAACCTCATTTAAGGATGCAATTGCTACCGAAATCCGATCTTCTCATGCTTATAAAATTCAATCTTTCTTTTTTTTTAATCATCACGTGATCATTAGACTTTTTCAACATGCATAAGAAAGATGTAATTAATGAAGAAATTGATTCGTCAGAGACTCCTTTGTTGCAAAATGAAAAACCCCTTGGATCAATTGCGACATCGGTTTTGGAGAAGTACACTTCACATCTGACAAGGACTCTTCCAAAACAGAAAAAAAATTCTATTGCTCAATTTATTGACACAATGAATGTAAAATATTATTTATCTGTTCCATTGGCAACTCATACTCATAGGTATTTTGATACTCTTAAAATATCTGATTTGAAGTCACGAGGAATGTGAGATAATAACATTGAGTGTATGGTGTTTAATTTATTAGTCGATTTGCAACAAGAAAATTAGCATCATTAGTGGTTGGTCGAATAAGAGAAAGCGAAAAAACGAGCATCAAAATAAACCCTATCGAGAATCTCAAGACCAAATCTAAAGAAGATCTCTTGACTGAGGATACTATTTTACGTAAGAAATTTAGTCGATACAAAATCACCAGCAAATCGCCGGTTAATGCGAGTACGAAATATCCGGTGATGCGATTCACGTTCACCAAGGTTCATCAAGTGAAGGATCAAGGCAAGAATACGAATGATTCGAGATTTTTGCCCGGGCATTATATCGAAGTTCAAGCCAGAGTTAAGGGTCAAGTGGTGATCAGAAGTTATACTCCATTGGAAGGAACCATGTCAAAATCTTTTTCAGTATACGTTAAAATCTATCCGTATGGTCTCATATCACAGCATCTGGTTCGAGTTTATTATTATTCTATTTCATTCTGTATTAAACCGCCTATTCATACTTGCATGTTTTTTGTCAGAACGAGCAATTAATTGGTTACGAAGTTCGAGTTCGTGGGCCATTTGATGTTATGGAAAGACAAATGCGCATCTCCTTGAAAACAAATAGCTTTATCAGTTCACCCACATCCAGTACTCCATATCTGGGACTTGATAAAGATGGTCTTGGCGGAAAGACGTCTTTGTTGAACCCGAACAGTTCTGATGGATGCTGGGAAATGTTGTATATGGTATTTATAATATCCAAATAAATAATCAATTTAAGAAATGTCAGTTCTAACGACTTCGATTTTTTTAGATCGCTGGCGGTACCGGGATCACACCAATGTTGCAGGTAAGTTTTACCAAATGGTTATTATTATATTTTTGCTGAATCAATAATAATAAATTGATCCTTTCATGTATGTTATATCGGTTACCCACACAGCTGATCAGGTATCACCTGGAACAAGTTTTGAAACGAGGGAAAGGTTCTCGCGTGCAAATGAATTTGCTATTTGGTAATCGCGAAGTCGATGATATAATTGACGCTCAATTACTTGAAGAACTTGCGTTTTCAAGCCGAGGAATGCTCACCATCAAATACTGTCTCTCGAAACCACCGTCTGCGTGGGGAGGAATTCATGGACGTATCAGTGATGAAGTTGTAAGAGAGTGGATGAAATCGGTACGTGATGAGTCAAGTCAGTCACCAACACAGGATCGTCAAGGTTCCCCGACTTCGGATCTGACGACAGAGACGATACGAACCACACCCCGTCCATTACCACCTTTGCCCACGGAAAGATCACATCATTATCCAGGGTCAAATTCTAATACAGTAAGTTACGCATCGGGTTATTCTCGCCCGCAGAGTGCGTTGTCCGGAGGTCGTGCTTTGCCCGTATCCTTACAACCTGCTACGCCGCCGCCGTCGTCGCCACCACCGAGCAATTACACGCCTTTAAATACGATAATAAATTCGGACATTGAAGAGGTGACGGATACATCATCATTTTCAATGGATCGAAGAAGTCGATTGACACTAAACACAAAGAACCTTAATTATAAACGAGCAAAAATCATTGTGTGTGGTCCATACGAAATGATGACCGTCGTAGAACAGGCTTTACTTTCCATGGGTTATAATAACGATGATTTTATTATGTTGAATTAATTCCATTAGTTTAAACTAATTATTTAATTATATGTAGTGTATGTAAGACAAGTCATTTAACATTAAGACAAGCTCGAAAGCAATAATGATTTCTATTTCTTATTTATTTTAATATGATCTTTGATGTATACTATAGTGATTTGATTTTGGAAAAACATTCATTATAAAGTAATTGGTACGAGGAAAACATCTTTACCATAGTTCGTGTCGAAATTACCCCCATGTTGATAAGATGCAAAAGTTATTACATTATCTATTATCTTTAATGAGAGCAACATGAAGAAAATAAATACTGAGCACACCAAGCACACGTGTGCTTACATGAACTTTATATAGAGTCTGGACGCGCATTCGCGCAGTTTTGGCGTCGCACATTATTACAAACAATAGCCAAAAAAGTACAACAATTCATGATTAGAATCCCGTTTGCATTTTGCAACAATCCTAAATTTGGTGTAAGGAAACAGCCAATATGTAAGTTGGTGTAGCCCGGCTTCCCGTTAAAACGAATTAATTAACATCAATGGTTTTAGTCTTTTTTTCTTCTTGCAGATTGACATTTCACACTTTCCAACAAAATATTATATATAAAGAGTAAAAAAAATCGCTGGAATAAAACTTTTCATAACAAGTAAACAAAAAAAGGAGAGAGGGCAATGAATCAGGAGGACGCACCCCTGTTGACAGAAACACGAACTCCTAATGACTTTGACGAAGAAAGCCTCTCTGGTAACGGAGGTGGGTCCCAAGGTGTTGGCGTTCAGGAGCGTATTCCTCGTACACGTGAAGCACCTCGAGACCGCACCAACTTCATGCCGTTACGTCACGGAAAATTTTCAAGATTGGAGACAATACTGGCTTTCACGAGCATTATATTACTAATACTCATGAGCATTTTTGCTGGTTTATATGCAAGAGGAAGGTCCAACAAACACCGCGAAATCATAATCCCAGCTCCTGAGCCGCCATCGAAAAATGAGACCGACGAGGTATTGATCATATTCTACATTTTCAACAACTTTGGAAGATATTGTTTTAGCGTTCTCACGATCTATACATGGGTTCTAACGTTTTATTAGGGGCCATGCTTAACGAGTGGTTGCATTGTAACAGCAGCTCAGATATTATCGGATATGGACTCCAATGTCGACCCTTGTGATGATTTCTATCAATATACTTGTAAGCGCAAGTTTAACCTTTTTCCCTAAAGTTTTTTTTGCGCATACATCATAAAAAAATGACATTGATCTATCAACAGGCGGAGGATGGTTGAAACGACATGTCATCCCCGATGATAAAGGGAGATATGGTTACTTTGACAGCTTGTATGAGGAAAATCAGGTAGATCATCACTTCGATTTTTCCAAATGTGGCTATCCTGTTCACTGATTTTGTTGTGTCTCAAGAAACTTTTAAAAGGAATCCTCGAGAATGAATTCGGATCACCCAATGAACCTTATCTTCCACCCGCAAACGAAGTCCAAGATAAACTAAACCTTTACAAGCTTCAAGACTTTTATCAGTCGTGCATGAACGAAACTCATATCAATCACCTGGGAAATGCTCCTCTGGCTCCAATATTGAGTAAAATTCTGGATGATTTCCCGATAGACAAGGAATATTCGTTGTTTTATAATATAGGCAACTTGAATTATTCAGATGTGCAACCCCCGCTTGATGAACAAAATTTAACATATGTTTTGGCTTATCTATCTACCCTCGGCGTAAAACCATTGTTCACATTTTACACCGATGCCGATGCAAAAGATCCAACAAACAACGCTTTACACCTAATGCAATCTGGTCTTGGCCTTCCTTCCAAAGAGTATTATGATGAAGAAAGTATTTTGGATGTTTACAGGGACGTCATTGCCGAATTACTAGGGAAAGCTTTAGTCTATGACGATATGATGAATGGAACGGGTGTTAACGTAATCGATAAATTGGTTGAGTATGAGGTGACAGATATGTTTGAAGGAATCGCACAAAAAATCGTGGACTTTGAAATATCCTTGGCTAAAATTTCCTTATCCGCGTGAGTAACGTTCTAAAAAAAGAGTCACGATGTTATTATTACTGACGGTTTTACATTCTTCTTTTGGGTGAACATTCAGCGAAGAAATGTCCAATCCCGATTCGACATATAACAACCATACCATATTTTCTCTCTCCAGACTTAGCCCCAGTTTCATGTGGCTAAACTACTTGACTACTCTTTTGCCACCAAATGCCAATCATGACCTTAAAATAATTTTGCATTCGAACAAATATTTTAAGGATGTTTCAAATCTTGTCAAAGAGACTCCACCTCCTGTCTTGCAAACTTATTTTATCTGGCAGGCCGTTCTCGGATACGCAGACTTCCTGGATGAGAATTTCCGATCTCCTATTAGAAGGTTGATGGCCAAGCTCAGAGGTATCGATGAATCGGTGAAACCGAAAAGATGGGAGGTTTGTCTTCGTGCCGTAGATTCTACCATGGGACTTATGGCCGGTAGATTTTTCGTGCTAAAAGCTTTTGGTGGTATGTTCTCTTGATAAACTCCTGACTCCTCACTCCCGTTTTATACTAATATCAAATTTACATGCTGCTCGTAGGTCAAAGTAAGGAAATTGCAGACCAACTGATTGGTTCTCTTAAAGATGCATTCATAAATCGCATGCCAAAAATCGAGTGGCTTGATGATGCGACTCGTGATAAGGCCATCGACAAGGTATGACCATTAACTGCCCAATAGTTCATCTGACTGCAAACTGCAAATCTTATTTCACATATGATTCATTCATTGTAGGTTGAAAAAATAATTCAAAAAGTCGGGTACCCTACAAAATCTCCAGATACTATGTCTCCGGGGTCATTGGCAGAATATTACGATAAAATAGTAATTAATAATGACACCTTTTTCGAAAATATCGTGAGTGCGGAGCGATGGCAGTCCGAAAGACAATGGCAGAAAATAGGAAAACCCGTAGATCGCGGACATTGGTATATGACACCTCAGACAGTCAATGCTTATTATGTACGCATTATTCCATATTGCTTGTGATCTTGAGAATTTTGATTTAACAACTCTCCAAATTTTCCTATAGAATCCTACTGCGAACGAAATTGTATTTCCAGCCGGTATTTATCAACCTATCTATCTGTAACCTCTAGTGAATAATGATTATTTATTTTTTTGCAATCTTTTTCGCTCATAGGAATTCTTCAGCCTCCATTTTTCAGCGCGGAGACGCCGGAATATATCAATTTTGGTGGAATTGGTATGGTCATTGGACACGAACTCACGGTTGGTAAAAATTATGCGGATATTTGATAGATCGCACGCAATTTTATTTTAATGCTAATTGCACTTTTTTAGCACGCGTTCGATAATCACGGGCGACGATACGACGCGAGTGGCCGTTTGATTCAAGTATGGATTGCATTCGACAATCTTAAATTTGGTGTCCCATTGTTGCCCTGAGCTTACCGATCTTTTATTATTAATTAAAACTTAGTGGTGGTCCAACGAAACGATTGAGGCATTCAACAATAAGACGGAATGCTTTATTTCTCAATATTCTAATTATACCGTCGATGATCCGAAGGGAGTTCCTGTACATCTGAACGGCCGGTTGACTTTAGGTGAAAATCTGGCTGACAACGGAGGGTAAGAGATGGCGATATATTCTATGTATGCGATCGCTGACGTGGTTTATCTTTACTACGTGCTCTTTTCTAATTTACTTATTTATTCCCCAATCAAATTCTTAATTGCATAGTCTCGCGGAGGCTTATCATGCGTGGTGGACCAGGTACGAAAATGATCCGGATGGCGAATTATATAACAATCAATTGTTACCTGGATTGAACAAAAACACGAGAACAACTATTTTACATTTCATACGGTCATACCTGGTGTTCAAAGTTAAGACCTGAGACTGCCTTGGAAAGGGTAATTGTGATTTTCCTGATTCATCTTACTTTTGATACTCTACAACATACCTTTGATTCGATCATTTAATCTTAGGTTCGTACTGATCCCCATGCACCGGCTTACTGGCGAGTCAATGGTGTATTGCGTAACTCACAGCACTTTGCAAAAACCTTTAATTGTAAAAGTGGAACAAAGATGAATCCTGTAGATAAGTGCACTTTGTGGTAAAAACATTCGCATTTCATTTTTATTATACACAAAAAAAAAAATTTTATCGAATTAGATAAAAACATACATGAAATATCTTGGAAAATCTTGTACGGTCATTTAATTCTATTTATCTTATTAAAAATTCGAGTATCTTTGATTTATATATATGTAAATAAATTTAAATTAAGCCTGGCATCAAAAACCCTATCAAAGTTTCACATGATCACGTTATATGTAAGCTAAAACTAAGTTTTTGAATAAAATAAATTAGTTGTATGTTATGTTATTAGGAAGTGCCTTCGATATCTTCATTTTAATATCCAATATGTCGAGCAATTCGATAACCCCCAACAAGCTAATAAAGATTAAAGAGTAAGAATGATCTATAATCATTAACGAAATACAGGTAGACGATTTATTTCTTTAATAAGCTGACCATATCCTCGACTCCTCAAGACCTCCGAAATTTGATGAATTGACGTTACGTCATCAAAAGGTGACCATTTTTTTGTCATTTTAAAACATTGCGGATTAATTATTTTTATTAATTTATTTATCATAACGTATATTTACAAATATTATATAAACTTAAA